ACGGGGCTGAAGACGGGGACTAGCCCCTGCTGGCTTGCTTCTTGCCTGCGGGGGGGGGCTGCTTCGGGCCCTGCCCCCCTGCGCTCTTGCCCTGCCCCCCCGCTGCGGAGAGGCTTGGCACACGCTGGGGAAGGGGCTGCGGGCAGAGATGCCAACAGTGGAGAAATCGGCGCGCGGATTTGTGCCGATGGGGCCCGTCGGGGAAAAATCGGCAGCGCAGATTTGTGGCCCGCCGCGGAAAATCTGAAGCGCAGATTTGTGCCCGCCGCGGAAATCGGCCGCGGCGATTTGTGCCGCACGGAAATCGGCAGCGCAGATTTTTTGACGAACATGGGCTGGACGCTGGGCTGGCCAGGCCAGGCAGGAAAATTCGTCTAGGGGGTAGGCTCACGGCAACGGGGGCTGACGCGGGGACAGCCCCTGCTGGCTTGCTAATCTTGCCTGCGTGGGGCTGCCTTCGGGCCCTGCCCCCCTGCGCTCTGTGCCTGCCCCCCGCGCGGGAGAGGCTGGGCACACGCGTGGGGCAGGGGCTGCGGCAGCGACTGCAACAGTGGGAGAAATCGGCAGCGCGGATTTGTGCCGCTGGAGGCCCGTCGGGGAAAATCGGCAGCGCAGATTTGTGCCCGCCGCGGAAAATCGGCAGCGCAGATTTGTTGCCCGTCACGGAAAATCGGCAGCGCAGATTTTTTGACGAACATGGGCTGGACGCTGGGCTGGCCAGGCCAGGCAGGAAAATTCGTCTAGGGGGTAGGCTCACGGCAACGGGGGCTGACGCGGGGACAGCCCCTGCTGGCTTGCTATCTTGCCTGCGGGGGGCTGCCTTCGGGCCCTGGCCCCCTGGCGCTCTTGCCTGCCCCCCGCGCGGGAGAGGCTAGGCGCTGCGGGGGCCAGCTCCGACGTCGCTGGCCGCGGCATGCGAGCTGCTGGTTTCCCGCATTCCGCCAAGAAAAGTTGTGCTTTCCACATGAAATCCATCCAGTAAAATCAGCCATATTTTTGTGAGGCTGCCAGCCGAATTGGGGTCATTCCGGGCCGGTTCCTATTTTTGCGTATTTCCTGATTTTTAATGGTAGGAAATAAAAAAAATACTTCCCGGACCCGAAAAATTCTGGATTATTTCTGGAGGTGGATTGGAATTTTTGCCAACCTATGTGCAAAATTTCAGCTCAAAATACCAAGAAATGAATTTTTTAGAGGGGGGTGACAGCTGGGACCTAGTAGTGTCTACCCCTGCCAGAGCTGCAATAACACTTATAGCTCTTTAGGGGGTGACCCCGACCGGCCATGGGGCGCGCTGGCTGGCCGCCCATAGGCCCTGCCGCGGGGGATTGGGAGTGCTGCTACACTCGGACTAACGTGGGGGGCCTCATGGCCCGAAGTAAGGCCGCCATCGATGACCCGTTTTCCGGCCGGCGACGACCCGATTCCGGCCACCGTCCCCGGGACCCGCTCCAAGCCGTTGGGCGCGTTGGGGATGCTTATCACGCGGCGTGGGCGTGGGGCCTTAAAAAGCCGCGCTCGTGCCAAGGTGCTGGCAGCTGCTGCGCGCCTCTCAGCTTGCCGCGATGTCCCGGGCGCGGGGGCTGATTCCGGCAACCGTCCCTGGACCCCTCCAAGCGTTGGGCGCGTTGGGGCTGCTTATCCGCGACGCGGGCGTGCACGCACTCTGTTGCCACGCTCGTGCCAAGGTGCTGGCAGCCCCAACGCGCCCAACGGCTTGGCGCGCGTTTCACGGCTATTGTCCCGATTTCCGGCCACCGTCCCCGTGACCCGCTCCAAGCCCGTTGGGCGCGTTGGGGCTTGCTTATCCGCGACGCGGGGCGTTGCTGCATTCAGTTGCGACGCTGTTCCAAGGTGCCAAGGTGCTGGGCAAGCCCCAACGCGCCCAACGGCTTGGCGCGACGTTCAACGCGCGGCGGTGGCCGCTTGCCTGTGCTCGCAAGTTGGAGGCCTGGGCCGGACGAGTTCTGGTGGGACCGCCGAGGCTTGGGGATTGCGAGGAGCGGATGAGCTATACGCTGGCCGTGGGCGTGGCATTAAATTGCTGCGCGTGCGGCCCATTGTGTGTTGGCTCTCCTCGCCATCCCCAGCTCCTGCGCGATGTGACGCTGCCGAGGGCCCTGCATCCATCTTCCGAGATGAGACACAGATGGCCCCCGAAGATGATCCAGGTTGCTCCCCCCAGCGGCCTGTCCTTTCGAGATCCGTCCGCGTCCCCCGCGGCCGCCCTTCGAATCCCCCGTCCCCCGCCTACGTGTCGTCTTCCCTTCGAGATCCCCCGCGACATCAAACAGCGGCTTGTTGCTTGTCCCTTCGAGATCCTATCGCGTCCCCCCAGCTGCGTGTTGCTTGACCCTTCGAGATCTTTCGCGTCCGCGGTGCGGGCACGATCTCTCTCGGGTTTTTCCACTTGCCCTCAGGCCTGTTTTTAGCTCGTCGTGATGTTGTCGCGTGTACGCAGAGTCGCAGAAGCGGTAATTGGGCTTTCCGTGTCCGCAGG